AGAGAGAGAGAGAGAGAGAGAGAGAGAGAGAGAGAGAGATAGTATAAGTAGGGTATTTAGAATTAGAATTGACTGTATCTACAGAGTTCATTTTCACTTACAAATTTCCTTATTGTTAGCCACTTGGGAATCTGTCAGAAGTTTCTAGTTTCATGAGTTCAGATAGAAATCACTTAGTAGATTTTATAAATCCAGAGGGAGAAGCTGCTCTTAGCCCAAGTCTCTTCTCCTGTTACTCCTCCCTTTCCTCTGCACATGCATCCTTATATGGCTGTATTCTCGGCAGCGGAGTCAGCCCACACCACACGGGCTACCGCCGATCTCTCTGGTCAGCCCTGGGAGGAGATGCAGACCCTTCCAGAGAACCCCTTGCTTGCCTGGCTTTGACTCTCACTTTGACCCTTCTCCCCTGATTCTAAACACTTAAAAAGGTGGCACAACCACTGATCCCCACATGTTGCTGCTCTAAACTTGGCCCTGCTGCCTGTTCTCACCAGCTCTGTACCTCAGTTTCTCCTACCAAGGACAGCTCAAGCTCCTGATGATCCTCACCACACAGGATGGAAGCTCGAAGCTGGCCTGCGTGTTAGTGCTCTGGAGACAAAGCCCTGCGTCACCATGATGAGAATCTGCTGGGAAGAGCAAGGATCTCGTTGTTCTTCTGCCTTGACCTGCTCTGTGGGCCTTGAGTTGGGAGTTGTGAGGACCATTTGGGTGACTCTCCCTGAGAGAAGAGCAGTGGCCTCCATCTTGGCTGTGCCTGACCCTGTATCCATGTATTAATAGGTACAGAGCTGACTAGGGCTTTTCCTTATCCTTTCAATTGGCTTGAAGCAATGCATATTGGTCTAGCTGAGGTGCTGGTGGTAGTCTTTGAAGACGGCACACATGTTTCTCTGATAACCCATGCCTGCTGCTCATTAATATAAGCCCAGTCAAGATAGGATGAAGAGCCAGTGCTCCACGCTGTCGGCTGGGATCGAGCCTCGAGATAGAGGCTATGACTTCCAGGGGCTTGAAAGATTACACATTAGAGCTGAAGCACCGGACCCCAAAACATTAGATACTGTCTCAATAGTATAATACAAACCCCTTTTTTCTTCATACCCTTCTCTGCACATTGCAGAGGTAAATGCAGGCCTTCTACCTAGCCCAGTTCACAGAACTCACCTTCTTCCTGCCATTCTGTCATTTATCCTCAAGCCACTCCTCCTGCATGACTGAATAAAACCCAGGTTTGGCCCTGGGGGAAGGCCTTTGTTCCAGACAGTCATCACCATGGCTGGACTTAGGGCCCCTTGGCTCCCCATAATTATAAATATGCTTTAGTGCTTTAGTGTCTTTATGTTCACTGTGGGTTGCACCAGAGGTGGTAGATTGGAATTAATTTGGTGGCATTCCAATAACATATCTTTGGGATTACAAATATAAAACCTCCTGGATGGAGACAAGGACTGAAAAGGTACTCACTGCAGGAGTGGGGCCCTGTTGGAGCCCTGTGGAATGGGATTGGTTCACCCAAAGTGAGGGCTGTACTATGCCTCTAGCTTTAGTTACTTACAATGTGGCTAACGCATCGCCCTTTAATTTCCCTGTAGTGATGAGATAAGAGGAGGGATAGAGAAAGAGGATGGATGCTGCATGATGGTATTGAGGAGGCAAGGGAAGAAAATCTGGAGAAACTTCCAGACTAACCAGACCCGAGGGAAATAGGCTGTGTTGGCTTGGGAGCTATCTGGGCAGACAGGGGGCCCACGAGGCACATTCCTGCCAGCTTAAGTAAAACTTCTCTAGCAGCAACAGAAAATGAGGGACTAAAGCTGTCCTGAGGCAGGGGAGAATCAGGTACGCGCTCCATCAGTGGAAGAAAGATGTAAGGGGAGGTTCTGAGAGACGGCAGCTGCAGGCCAGATGTTTTCAATCAAGCAAATGCAAGAATCTGAAAAGTAGGTTATAAACTCTTTCAAGTACGTAGAAACAGGCTGTCTTGCTCTGGCTGAGGATGAAAAGACCCACAAATTGCACAGATGCCAAGAAACGCTGGGTGAAACGACACTGCGGGCTGCTAAAGCAACACGTGTCTTCCTCCCCCCGCCCCCCCGCCCGCAACACGATTTTGTACAGAAATTTACTCTTGTTCACAGAATCACTGCGCTTCAAGGGAAGCTAAGCTCATCCCACGTGTAGGGGGTAACTTGATCCCATAATGATTATCCAGTTCCCAATGCTTATGGTTGGTCTATCAAAGGACAGTGTTTCCAATTTGCCAATGAATAAGAAGGAAGATGGTGGAACCCTTCCAGGTTCATTCTTAAGGAAGAACCAGGGGAAGGATGGAGGGTACCTGTCTTCCTCTAGATATTGTCCACTCTGGATGGAGTTCCTGGAGCTAGTAGCATTTGCTAAAGCCTGAAGAAGGGGTCCACATACAAGGACATCATAGGACACACAAGGTCATCATAGAATATACAAGGACATACAAGGTCATCATAGAACATACAAGGACATCATAGGACATACAAGGACATCATAGGACATACAAGGTCATCATAGGACATACTAGGTCATCATAGGACATACTAGGTCATCATAGGACATACAAGGTCAACATACATGGAGTTCTATAGCGTCACATCTGCAGCTGCCTGACCTCTGGATTCACCATTTCATCTCCTTTGAGCTAAGATTTTCTTACATCCATATCCCCCAAAACTACCAACCAACAGGGATGTGTCTGTCTCTTCTGGGCTCTGCTTAGGTTGGGTGCACTCAGCTTCAGCCATAGCAGCTCCTGGTCTACGAACTTTGCAAAGTTCGCCTGAAATCCTTGTGCATACCAGAGGCACGTTCACTTTCCCCAGATCTTAGCTTCCCCTTCCCATCAGATTTGGGGTTCAGGTTGTGAAGAAAGGGGATGATCTGGGGAAACTCTCCCTAGAGTTTCTCCACATGAAGAAGAAAATTGGCAAACTTACTTTTCCAAGAGTGCTGGCAGTGCTGGGGTAACAGGTAGGCTGCCTCTCCCGCTGGGAGAGTCTGACTAGATGGGAAACAGGAAACAGAGTCGGTGATGAGTGACAGGAGGAGCAAGGCTTGCCAGGCCTCTGGCCGTGTGGGGCAAGGTCGCTGAGCTCTCCTCTCTCCTTCCCCTTCTGCACCGGCTTTCCAACCTGCACCCAAGCCCAGGCACCATCCTTTCCCTCGGGGCTCCCTTGTCCTCCTTTGCAGTATCCCCTCCCTCAGAAGCATCTGTGACTTGCTCCTCTGGCTTTTCCTGAGTGAAGAGACAAATTCTATGCTAGCAAAGAGCAACCAATGCTTTCCGTCCCATTTCCTGACTGTGACTTCACAACCATGAGCCCCCTACCACCTGGGGTGCCCTGTGTGTCCTGGGATGAGCTCACAGGAGCCATCATGGCCCTGGGACAGCTCTTAGGAGATGCCTGTCATTACTGCATGCTCAAGGTATCAGGAATTTCTGCACAGTCAAATTCCTGGAACTCCAGGTTGGCTCAAATAGCCTTCTCAACACTGGCTATGCATTAGTGGAGACTTAGTACTGATTCACCCCAGAGTCTTGGTGTAGGGCCCGGACATAAAGAATTTTAACATACACTCTCAGTCTAAATGAACATATACCATGATACCTCAGTTCATGAAAATGCTTCTGTTTTCAAACAATTTGGTTCACAACAAAATTGCTCAGCAAAGTTTACTTCCATAGAGAACAAATTTTATCACCATATTCCTTACTGGGTGACAAACACAACCAAAGCATCTTCCCCCAAATCATAAAACAAATTAAGTTTGTAAACTAAGGCACCACTGTATTTGGAATCCACATCTTATCTAATTAGGAAGAGTCTGGAAAATAGGTCCACTGAAACACATCAACCAACCCTTCCAGTCCTTCTTAATTTTTTCCTCTCTGGTTTTCAGGATCACTGTCAAATCTCTCAGAGCAACAATTGGGAGTTAGTGGTTTGGGAGTTTAGGGTCATGTCATAAATGACTGAACTGAGTAAGGTAGGAAGAAGGAAAAGAAGTTTGAGAGCTCTTGCTGCTTGTTGCTATGACAATGGAATTTGCCCATCTCTTGCATTGCTGTTTCTTATGGACAAAGAACAGAGGAGCCACTGGGGAAAGACTTAATGGAGTTTCAGATAGAGTTGACCAGATGCAGAAAAGCTTGGGATGTGACAAATATTTTTTTATAAATATATAAACTGCTTTTGTTTAAAGAAATGGAAATGGATTTTTTCTGATGACCTGTATTTCCTACTGTAGAAATACAAAAAGACACCAAGAAAAAAAATGCGTAGACCTTATCATTGCCCAGCGATAACTATTGCTAATTTTACATAAATTTTTTCAGAATTTTCTATGTCTACACATAGAAAGAAACTTTTCAAAGTACTAAGCAGAATTATGCTACATATATACTAGCTTTTTGGGTTTTTTTGTTTTTTGTAACCGGGGATCAAACTTAGGACCTCGCTTTTGAGGGGGACACTTATGTCACTGAGCTATCATCCTGGCCCTTGAATACTAGTTTTTATAGATATCTGAAGTTGTTACTCATTATGAATAAATTATGGGCAATGATTCTATACAAACTATTTATATGGTAACCCTGATTTGTTTACCGATCACTTATTTATAGCCATCGGGTTTTTGCCAGTGTTTCCCAGTTATAAATAATGTTGCCATGAATCCAGCAACACTGGGTTTAAGAACTGAGGCTTTGGGTCCAAGGGGCCTAGGGTTCAAAGTTCAGCTCTATGACTTGCTTCAACTTTGGTTTCCTAAAGCCACTGCAGAAAGCAAAAGAATCCCACACCTCAGAGAGATGTGGTTTAAGCATGGATTCCCTGGGGGGTAAGGAAAACGCTCTGCGCTGCCTACACCTTGCTTAGGAGGACTCAGAGCTCTTCTCAGAGTGATGGAATACATGAGGAACCCTCTACGTTGAGCTTTTGAGCTTTCACCACCCATTTCTGTGCTGGAAATGTCCTGTCCTTGTTGACCTTCACTCTGTCCTCCCTGCCCACCACAGTAGTGAGTGTGAGGGGAAGGGGACAATGGGGCCAGAAGCAAGGCACCACCATACTCACCAGAACTGGTAGGGAGGGGATGGGTGATGAGCTGGGAGACTGGCCAGGCAGGTTCAAGGCATTGAACTTGGGGACCACAGCAACGCTGACCCTCCGGCGGGGCATGTTCTGTGGGAAGAGAAGTGACCAGAGCGCTTTCTTAGAGGTAGCAAGAGTCTGAAGGGCCTGGGAAGGGTCTGTGGTTCCTAAAGCCGTAATGGCATTCACTGGACAAGCTGGTTTTGAGGTACTGAGAGCACTAAGGGCTGGTGTGGAGAGAGGAAACAGAAGTTGAACAAAATTTTCTGTCGGTGGTGATCCATCACCTTGTGCCTGTTTTAGATTATAAGCTTCGGGAGAAACAGAATGGAAGTGGCTTGTCTCCCAGTAAAATCCTAGAGAGTTATAAAAACTGCCTATAGCAATGCCAAGGTATGTGGGTCACTTTGGGCTCATCTAAGGGATGTATAGTTGGGGCAAAACAGGAGCAAGAAAGGGGAGATGTCGGGCTAAGCTGGCGGGTGGGAAACTGCAGAGGGCTTTTAGCATCTGTGGATGCAGGACAAAGGATTGCTTTGGTGACCATGGAAACCTCTGTCATCCTTCCTGTGGGAGCTCTTGCAGTCCTTGAACATGCGTACCTTTCCCATCGTGAGGGACATGGACCGTGCAGTGCGAGGAACCCCATCTTCTACAGCAGGAGGAAACAGAGAAGAGAATTCATGTAAGTTTCATTGCAGGTTCCAGCAAAAACAGGAAGGCAGAAACTACACAGAGCTATCAACAGGGCAGAGCTAAGCTTCAAAGGGCAGCCCCAGGGTCCTGGGTAGGTGTGAGGGACATTGAGTTTGGCATGTCAGCCTTTGAGATGATCTTCTACACAGTGGGGACCCTGGGACGAAAGCTCTATCCTAACTCCACTGGCTACTGCAAGAAGCCCTAATTATGGATCCTGGTCTTTACTTGCTACCTTGACACAGTGTCCAGCTGTCACTTTATACACAGTGTCCAGCTATCAGTGTCCAGTGTCCAGCATGGAAACTACCCAGAGTAATGCTGACACTTGCAGCATCATTTCACATTTGGACAAAAGAGACACAACGACGCCGGGAGCAAGGAAGGGGTGGTGTTGCAAAGACAAGACTTGCTAGCAGAAGTAGTTTTGTTTTTCACCTGCACGCACGAAGACTCAGGACAGAGGAAGCCACCATCCTGGTGTTTGCTTCCCTCGGGAGATACATTCTGTGACGTAATTTAGCCAAAATGTGTAGCATCACATCACATCATAGTACTAGCAAGAAGCATCCAAATACATGAAAGACATGTATTTGCAAGGCCGAATCTATTGGATTCAGTTGTCACCTAGCCTGT